GTAACTTAATTCATACTTAGAGTCTAGTTGTTCTTAAGTTAAACAAGATTTGATCTTAAGTTTTGGATCCACGGTATAAACAATCCTTATGTGAATCTAACATGTACATGATATATACTAGTATAATTAGCTAGAGAATCTTTACATGCTTGATCACTATCAAAAATCTTAAATTTAAGAGGAATAAGCCGACATTTTATGGTGAAATACCTTCTTATTCTATACTTTGTAGAACATTAACACATGAAAAATTTAGCAATTTTTTCAATATTATATTGATAATGTAAGATTATATGCACACTATCTATAAGAAGTAAATTCAAAACAAAAGAAAAGGTTTGATAGAAGTAAAAGCCATAAACAAATTCAATTGGGCAGTGTAAAGTAATTTTTGCAATAAAAGGCATTGAATTCCAAGTTGCTTTTAATACTTTAAAGAAATCATACGTTAGCTATAGTAGTAATCGTACTAATACAACACCAAATAAAAGGCATCAGATCTAAAAGTGACATTTAAGACTTGTAGCAGAAATGTTCTTGGGGACCAATTATGCTGCTGAGAAACAGTTAAATGCGTAGTACTAACATTCAATACGTAGTATCACTAGTAGAGTAGTATTACTAGTACTAATCTGTTATTGTGAATGTTTGCTTTAAGTTAGCTTGTAGAATACCTAGAAGATGCTAACCTCCACTAACAACATTATTCTTTACATAACTTCTGATCAATCTGATGAATCAACTAAAAAAAAATCAAGGAAAGAGATCAATGCCGCAATAGCTTGTTCATGCAAGCTCTAAACATTATGGAGTATTATCAGAGTCAATATAGGATAATTCATTAATCAATCTATGATAAAAGCGCACGGCAAAAGATTTTATAGTATTTCTAGTTTTGCCTTCTCATCAATAAGCATTACTTTTTATAAGTGCTATTATTATTATTATTATTATTATTCATAAGCTAAGGTTTATGTATTGTTGCTAGCACTATGAAAAGACTGTAAGACGATTTGACTATGCAAATTCAAAGTAGGTAACTAGTGAGGAGTTTCAATCTCGTGGAAAGTATTCAATTATATTTGGCAAAGATGGAGTTGTAACCAACCAAAAACCTAACATGTCGTAGCTCGTTGATAATGGGATTTGGAAAGGTCCATTCACCTACTCATTGAAAATTAAACATTCAATTGAGAAACTTATATTTCCTTCTGCCCTCCTCTTTTTAACACATTCGATTGAAATAAAATCATACATTAAATTAACCTTAAAATAAATTACTATACAAGGTACTATTCATGGTGAAATAAGATAAACATAGAGAGACTTTCAGTATGACATTTAATATCCCTGTTGACCATAAAATTAGTTGCGACAAGCTAACAACATAACAACATTAAAAGCATCGAATTGAATTTTTATTAAAAAAAAAAAAAAAGGATTAAAAAGAGTCAAAGACCTTTGTAAAGTGAGATGGAGCCAATAGGCAATAGCCGAGTTTAAAGTAGTCCTCAGTTATCAGGAAAATGAGCAGTTTGATGTAGGACTATGCAAAACTATCCGAAAAACCGAAAACCCAAAAAACCGAACCGTAACCGAACCGAAAAATTGGGTACCCGAATCGTTTAAAGAAAACGGGTCGGGTAACCGAACCGATAAGAATTTAACGGTTCGGGTAACGGGTACCCGTTAACACTGTTTCGAGTACCTGAATGTCCCGAAAATATTTTTTTTCGAAATCTCAAATGAAAAATGTCAGTTTTTTTTAAAAAAAAGAAACAGAAAATAAAGAACAAAAAAGTGAACCCTAAACTTCGTTCTTTTCTCATTTCTCAGTCATTCACTTCACTCAGCCTCCATCCCCCTCTCTCTCCTCCTCTTCTCTAATGTCTCTGCCTCTGGTTCTCTAATCTCCATTCTCCATTCACTCCTTCATCTCCTCCATTGAAGCGGCTCTGAGCTTTCACTCCTTCATCTCCTCCATTGAAGCGGCTCTGAGCTTTCACTCCTTCATCTCCTAATGTCCTCAGGTAATTAACTAATTATCCCTTTGCCAGATCTAATTATTTGCAATGAATTGATTAAATTCAATTAAACTTAAACTCTTGTTTTAATTTCACAGATCGCAGATTCAATTTAGGGCTCTGTGTACTTCGACTTCTCCATTGAAGCGGCTTCTGAGCTATACGCCTATACTCCTTCATCTCCTCCATTGAAGCGTACTTCGACTTCTCCATTGAAGCGGCTCTGAGCTTTCACTCCTTCATCTCCTACATTGAAGCGGCTCTGAGCTTTCACTCCTTCATCTCCTCCATTGAAGCGTACTTCGGCTCTCCATTGAAGCGGCTTTTGAGCTTTCATTGTTGAGGTAATTTACATTTTATAGTATCTGACTATCTGTGGTTTTTTCGGATTTGTAATTGTTTTTTTTTCCTGATTTTTTATTGTGGTACTATTATTTTTTTTTTTTGTTTTTTTTGGGAGGAATGGTACTTATTATGTTTTTCAGAATTGAGGTTTTTTTATTATTTTTTGTCAAGTTGTGTCTGTTAGATTTAGATGAGTGAGTAAGGTGAGATTTCTGTTTTTGATGTGGAAATAAGGTTGTTGAGAAAAAACAAGGATTCAGAGTGATGTTGTTGTGTGATGTTGCTAAGCATCTATAGTTGTTGTGTACTAATGTTGTTGAGCATCTATAGTGTTGTGTGATGGCTTCCTGTGTGTTGAGCATCTATAGAGTTGTACATGATAATCATGTAGTCCAATATGATTTATTGTAACGTGAGTTAATTACAAGCATTTTAAGAAAACGTTTTAAGATTTATTGTAGTCCAATATGATAATCATGTAGTCCAATATGATTTATCTAGTTGCTTCTACTCAGGTTAATCTGTCAATGTATGGTTTAACAAAATTGAGTAATATTCGTCAGCTGGAATTTGGTTTAACAGTAACTTGTGTGGCTGTGTACATCATCTTTTGGACTCATTTTCAGTAATACTTGCCTAAGGTACTGCAAGGCTCACAGAGTGATTATATGGTGTAGTTGTACCAATAGTTTTTTTTTTTATTTCACTTGCTTGTCTGAGATTTTATGATTGTGTATTTGTGTGACGTGGAAAAGTTTTTGTCCTGTTTGTTTCTAATAGACATATGTCCTAGATGTTCACCCTTTCAACCCTCATATAGCTATGACTCATTCTTGTTATTTGTGTATACATGATTGAACTTATTTGTTTTTTTTTTTTCATTTGTAGGAGTGTATGGAATCTAGAAGTAGTGGGGATATGGAAGACTCATCGGCTACAAGTCAAGCTTCTCCAATTCCAAGTCCTCCTCCCGAGCCTTGGGAGTATGACCCTTGACCAATGACGGAAAATAATGACCCCTTTGACCAGCAAAATCAATCAAACCAACCTTCTGAACCTGCTGATGTTGCTGCCTCCTTAAGTGAAACTTCAAAAAAATCTAGAAAAAGGCGCTCTCCTCATTGGGAGCATTTTATAAAGAAGGATGGAGAAAACAAGGCTGAATGTATCTATTGTCATACATTCATTGGTTGTGCATCACTTCAAGGTACCTCCGGCATGAAGAACCACATAAAGCGGTGTAAGGAATACCCCCCAAACATTGATCAAAATCAGCAACTATTGTCCCTTAGTCAACAAACTCTTGATGGGAATCTCGTGGATAAAAAAAAGGTAGACTTGAGCTGTGGAAATTCAATCAAGAAGATAGTAGGAGAGCTCTGGAAAAGATGGTGATCATGGATGAAATGTCTTTTAGAATGGTGGAGCATGAAGGTTTTCGCAACTTTATGAAGGTAACACAACCCTTTTTCATTATTACTTCTCGATGGACAATGACTAGAGATTGTTTTAGGATTTATTTGGATGAGAAAAACAGTTTGAAAAGTTTTTTTAGTAAGTGCACTTCACGTATAAGTCTCACCACTGATACTTGGACTTCTTGCCAAAATATGAATTACATGTGTTTAACCGCTCACTTTATTGACCAAAATTGGAAATTGCATAAAAAAATAATTAACTTTTGTATAATTGCTGGTCATTCTGGTGAAACAATTGGTAAATCTATCCAAAAGTGTCTACTTGAATGGGGTATTTCTAGAGTAATGATTGTCATTGTAGATAATGCAAGTTCAAATGATGTTGGCATTCAATATTTGAAAAGAAGGTTTGAAAGTTGGAAGACATTAGTTTTGGGTGGTCGGTTTTTACACATGAGATGTTGTGCTCACATATTAAGTTTAACCGTTAAAGAAGGATTGAAAGAAAGTGATGTGTCAATAAAAAGAATTCGTTGTGCTGTTAGGTATGTAAGATCATCGGGTGCTAGATTGCAAAAGTTCATGAGTTGTGTTAAACAAGAAAAGTTGGAGTCAAAACGTTTTCTTTGTTTAGATGTGGATACTAGGTGGAATTCCACTTTTTTAATGCTGGAAGGTGCTTTGGCATATCGTAGGGCTTTTGATTTGCTTGAATGTTCAGATGGTGGTAAATTTAGGTATGAGTTACTTAAGACAGGCGGGGTGCCTGAACCTAGTGATTGGGATCGTGTTGCCTCTTTTCTTCCTTTACTTAAAATATTCTATGATGCTACTCTACGAGTTTCCGGCTCGTTGTATATCACCTCTAATGTGTATTTACAAGAACTTGTTGGGATTAGTGTGTTAATCAAGAAAAAAATGTTGAGTAATGATGCGGGGGTGAGTTTAATGGCTAGTGGAATGAAGAAAAAGCATGACAAGTATTGGGAAAATGTTGATAATGTGAATCTCTTGTTGTATATTGCTGTCATTCTTGATCCTAGGCGGAAAATGGGATATACTAAATGGGCAATTAATCAACAATATGATTCTGAAAAAGCTAAGTACTTGTGTGATAAAGTGATGCAAACTCTGAATGACATGTATGAACTTTATATTTCTGAAAACCCTCCAAATGAGTCTATTCTCCCTAAAACTTCTGATTTTTCGGAGGAAGTAGAAGATATGGATTCTGATGTAGATGTTGCGGAATTAGAGTTTGAAAGGCAGGTGGGTTCATGTGTTGGAGTACAAGGGAAAAATGAGTTGGCCAAGTATTTAGAAGATGATAGAGAAGTTAATCCCGCCGGAAAAAACTTTGATTGTTTGGGGTGGTGGAAAAAATATGGTGAAAGGTATCCAACAATAGCTCTCATGGCTAGAGATGTACTTGCCATTCCCGTATCAACAGTCGCTTCCGAATCAGCTTTTAGCACCGGTGGTCGAGTGCTTGATTCATTTCGCAGCTCACTCTCAACTAAGATGGTTGAAGCCTTGATTTGTGCACAAGATTGGTTACGTACATCTCAAGGTCCTCTTATACTTGAGGAGAGACTTGAAGATATGGAAAAAATTGAATCAGGTAACATTTAAATATTTTCTCTTTTTTTTTAATCTCATTATCTTGTTAATTATTCATTAACTTTTTTTTAATTTTTTTTTTGAAGAAATGTTACCTCTTGGTGAGGAACACTCTCTCTTTGTTGATGATGATTAATTGATTAGAGGCAACAACTTATAATCATGAAGGTTGGTGGTGATTGTATTGAAGGCCGGAAGTCATTGAAGGCTTGGAGTATTTTATGAAATATGATTACTATGGACTGTTTTTGTTTTAAAACTATAAACTATGGACTTTTTTTTTGTTATGTATTGGTTTATTATTGTTAACTATGGACTTTTTTTTAAAAAGAAACAGTATGTTTGTATCAAGTATTTGTTCATTTGTAATCGGGTTGAGTGCTGTGTTATATGTGTATTCAGGTTTAAATATCATCCTATTAGGCTGTTATTTGTTACAAAAAAAATCATAGTACTAATAACAATAATTAATACTAGAAAAACAGGTGGAAGTTTGGACAAAAATATTATTAAGCAGGTGGGTACAAGGAGGAGTTCAGGCAGCCAAGTAGGAGAGATGAGGAGGCAGCAGCCTCAAGGACAGGGACTGGTAGGTTGCCAAAGCGGAAGACAGCGATAGTTGTAATTATTTTTGTTATTTGTGTATTTAAGTTCAATTGTTATAGTTCAAAAAATAGGAAGTAAAAAAAAAAAAAACTAGTAAAAACTAAAAAGCATCTAAAAACGAATTGCAAAGCAGGTTTTAAATAAATAAAAAGACCCAAAAAAAAAATCAGCTTATTGGTTCGGTTCGGATATTTGGTTCGGGTACCCATATTTTCGGGTATCCGAATTTACAGGTACCCGAACCTTATCGGAACGGTTTCGGGAATCGGTTTTAGCCTTAACGGTTATCGGGTACCCGAACCAATAACTTTATCGGAACGGGTACCCATCCCATGCTCTCCCCTAGTTTGATGAGCATTCAGCAGATGAGGTTGGTTGAAGGCAGTCAACACAATAATAACATATGTAAGTCAGAGAGAAATGAGCAGTCACATTAATTGGGCTTTTTGCAGACTGAAACAACAAATCTCAGATAAGTTTAACTGCGGTCCAAGGTTAGGTCCTAATCATGTGGGCCTTTGCCTCTCAATCACACAATGGTAATTATTTATGGCTAGACTCTAGTCTAGGCATCATCCCCTACACCCCTCTCTAAACACATCGTTTAACACCCCTTCCCCCATCTACCTACTTTCATAGTTTCTGCAGTACTATACCCTCACAAAATGCAGCATACTATTTGATAGGCCGTCGTCGAGCCTACCAAAGATAATAATTCCTATCTTGGTCTCACTAACAATAGTAAGGGTAAGAAAGGGTCGAACCCAAGAGAGGCGTTGAATCAACCACCGAGTACTACCGTTTAAATAAGCTAAACGAATTCTAAATTGGGTTGGTTTTTAGTAACTTCTTCTAACACAATTCAACTAAGCTAAGAGGAGGTTAACAATATTAAGAGGAATCTAGGGCTTGGGTTATACCACTCAACTTCATCACAAGTCACAATTAGCATGCAACAATCAAGGTAAATTAATGGGATAAATTAGGGGAAGTCATCTAAAGCACCCAACTACTCTCTCAAGCTAGAGGGATTACTTGAATCATGAATACGACCTACTTTCGTGGTTACATAGCATAAAACAAGTGTTAAAGCATAATCACGATGACATAAACATTCCCTTGACCGGTAATCCCTATTCTCATGGCATTTCGGGTCAATCAAGCATAAGGGAGCTAACTCAAGTTCATCTCTCGATCCTTCGTTGAGAAAGCTTGGATAAATAGTTCTAGCAATGGCCATATACAAGAACTAAGCAATTAAACCACTTAAGCTCAACTAATTAACATCCCACAACAACCAAATTAGCACATGCAACAAGTAATTAGTGACTACATTGAGGGTTTTGCCCAAACCCTAGAATTTAGACTACTCACAATCCATGGGGGTTAAAGCAATTAAAGATTTCAAGCAATTCATGAACAAATTCAAACTAAGGATTAAGCTAATTAACAATCCAAAACATGCAAGAACTAGCAAATAATTAACAACAAAGTAAAGAGAAGTAGAAAAGATGAGTAAGAAATGGTTACTATGAAGCTTCAAGGTGAGCAACAATGGTGGATGTTGTCTTCTACAATGATTGAATATGAATAATTCCAAGCTAATAATTGAGAACTAACTAATGATTTGAGAATTTAATGTTCTAAGACTACAAACTAAGAGAAAAGCTCTGAAAAACTGCCTCTCCCGTACAAATGAGCTCTAAAGGGGTATTTATATGACCCCCAAATAAAAAGGACGGAGAAAACAAGGAAGGAGTTCGACTGCAGGTCTGCACGGACGTGCCAGATTTGGCACGGACGTGCAAGGCTAAGCACGGCCGTGCCAAGTTTGGCACGGATGTGCAGAGGGGGCAGAATTGAGGCAGAACGTACTGCTAAGAATCGAGCAGTTCCGCACGGACGTGCAGATACTGGCACGGACGTGCAGCTACAATTGCACGGACGTGCTTAATTTGGCACGTCCATGCAGGCCTTGGCAGAATGTTCTGAGTTTCTGGAGCACTTCTGCACGGACGTGCAAAGTCTGGCACGGTCGTGCACCTCCTGCACGGACGTGCCAGATTAAGCACGGCCGTGCAGGCCTTGGCAGCTTGCTGAAGCTTTCTGGAATCTCCTGCACGGACGTGCAAGGTCTGGCACAGCCGTGCAGGGTCTTCTAAACCCCTTTTTTCATCTTTTCTTCTATAATGCTCCTTTCCTTGGCTTCTTTCATCCATCTTCTTGCTTCTAACCTCGGCTTTGTATCCATGGGCTCCATTTGGTCGTTCTTTTGAACCTAGAATCTCAACAAAAACACCAACAACCCGTGAAGCATAGGATACACAAGAATTGCATAATAATAGAGTAAAAATGAACCAAAACGCAATTTATATCAAGTAAACTAGGTTCAAAACACCCTAAAATCGTATCAAATAGCAAGTTATCACTATTACTCCCTAAAATCCTAAAAAAATTTCAGTAACTTCCTCTACCCCACAAATATATATACCCCCAAAAAAAAAAAAAAAAAACATCTTGTTCTCTCTTTATTTTCCCTCTCCATTATCTCTCTCATCTAAGCTTTAAAACTTCAACCATGGCGGACATTAGAGACGAAGTCAAACAACCGAAGCAAATTTCACCGAAAAAAAGTAGCGAAAATCAAAAGAGTAAGTATAAATGTTCATATAATTTTATTTTTTTTTAAAAAAAAAAAAAAAAAAAAAAAAAAAACTAATTTTTTGAGAATTTATTTGTGATTGTGTTTCAGGAAACAAATTGATAGTTTAATAACTGAAAATGTATATATGTAAGTATTTATGTTAATAATTCATCATTTTCAAAGTGATTATTTCGAATAATTAGTAAAATTAACATCTACTTGCTTCAATTTCATTTTTCAGTTTGGAGAAATCTATTTCAGAGAACAGAAACAACGATTCTTCAAAAATGTAAGTATATTACTCAAACTTCTTAAATTTACAAGAATTTATTAAAAAAAATTTATTAAATGATTTATAATGTAAAAATTGAGATGATGGTGAAACACCTCTACAAAAAAAACCGGCGAACAAAAATCTCCTATTGTAGATCCAACACTTTCAAAGATATACAAGCGTTAAGGCTGCAGATGTAAAAATAGTGTCTCGGATGCTTAGGTAAAATGAACAATTATAAAGCACTATATGTTCATTTTCATATCATATAATGAAAATATTCACATGTTTACCTATAATTACATGTTAATATGTATTTATTAACATATTCAGATTTGATTTTTTTTTATTTTAAATATGTGTTATTGATTTGTATAAAACATTATGAACGCATGCATACAAAACTTGGTAATACATTCAAATGTTTTTTAATAGTTTATATATGTGCATTTACATTTATTAATATGTTCATTATTTTTAAATATTATGAGCATTTTTACATACATATATGAACATTTTTAAATGCATAATAAACAAAGCTAGATTATAGTTTTATACCATTTTAAGTGAAACATTTGATGGAATTTAGAGATGGATATGCTATTCATATTTTATAATTCATATATGAGCATCTACCTGTAAAAAAATATGCCATTTATATTAAAAAATAATATTCATTTGTAGATACATATATGAACATATATGAAATACATACTGAACATTTTTTTTTTCTTCATATAAATTGATATAATCTATATTGTAGTGATGTGTCATTTAAAGTGGCAATTAGGATTACACAAATTGTGAAGTTTACATTATGAAACACATGGAAACATTCACTGGTGATCAAAATAAAAAATGGATTTGTGACTTAAACCCAAACAATGTTAGTCCATCAAATGATCATTTACTTAAAATATATCGTTCATTTATATATTATTAAATAACAATTAATATTATATTATATATCCATTTTTATCAACAGGTAGACCAAATCAGGAAGCTGAGGATGCAATACACAACTCAACTAATGCTTTTGAAGAAAACACTGAATGTAGGATCAACAAAAGATTATCAAGAAAAATTACAAAAGAGTAGTATTACATGTTCATTTATAAATTTATATATGTTCATTTATACAAAGATATATGTTCTTATATGTGTTCAATAGAACTTACAGATTTTACTCGCTTAAGAGTCTTTATTTGGTATTTCTATTTTTTTTAATAGAATTTGATATTTCTTTTTTTAATATTGTATGTTAAATAGCTAGTATTTCTTTTTTTAACATATTTAACAACTCGGTGTTTTGTATCTATGAAATGTTCATTTGCAAATAATTTACATCACTAACAATATTAAGGTTGAAAGAAAACATTGCTTAATAGAAACACAACCTTAGATCCATTACATGATAAAAATATAAAATGCAGTCTCATGAAAGTAGTAATTTAAAAGCTATTGGTTTCCTAATGTACTCCCTCATTTACCATTACTAGTGAACCTCTTAGCTACATTTGTATCAAAAAAGACTAAGAACTTATCATACTTAATAGAAGTATGTCCTAAACCACCTCGAACACTTCTTAGAACTAACACTAGTAGTAGCTTGAACAGTTCTTGAAACACTTGTAGTAGCTTGAACATTTGTTGAAGCACTAGCTAGAAGCAGCGTGAACATTCCTTGAAACAATAAGAGTATCTTGAGCATTTCTACTATCGGCTGCAATAATTATAATAAACAAATATAATATCAATAATGTTCAATTATATTATTATTATATTAAAAAAACATATATATCTACATAAATGATCATTTATCATTACATAACTGAACATCTTTATAACTCTACACATTAACATATAATAAAATTTGTTCACTATTTAAAAGGCATATGAACAAATACAAACCAATGATTATCATTAAAATAGACATATACACATATATATTGAAAATACAACAAAATTAACATAAAATTTATGTAACTTAGAAGTGTGTGATTTGTTCTTCTACTAGTAATTTCCATGGAAATTCAATCAACAAAAATTTCATTGATTGAATTTCCCATCAATTTTTGTCCCTCTTAAATTTTTTAGTCTCTAATTCTACTTTGTCTTTCTAATTGACAGTTATCATAAGCATAGCTGCTTTCTTTTTCTTTCCCTAATCAAAAAAATTTCTTAAAGTAGTTTTATTTTTATTTTATTTTTATTTTAACTTTATTAATGTTCATTTTCATATTGATAAATGTTCATTTCCATATTGATACAAGATCACTTTATTTTATATATATTTATTGCGATATTGATACATACATGGTTTATGTTTGTTTTCGTATTAATAAATGTTCGTTTTCGTATAAATAAATGTTCATTTTTTATTTTGATAAGTTTATTATTTCAATTTTGATAGACATTCATTCACGTTTTGTAAATAATGTGTATTGATTGTTACAAATACGTACTCTTTTTTATGTATAGTATGGAGTAGTAGGTAATTAAGTATATGTAGTACTTACTACTTAGCCTGCCTGTATCATTTGTATGTCACACCTAAGATAAAAGTATATTTTATGCAAGCAGTAAGATACTAAAAAATTTGAGTAGAGCTTTATATGTTTAACCACATATATTTTTTAATGCTCATTAATTTTATGCCATGTTCATTATCATTCCAATATAAGTTCATTTATATGTGAGTAGATGCTCATTATATAATATGTTGATCACGTTAGTTTCTATACTCTTTTAGGTTCATTTTTATGTATATATTGTTTTTTTTAAATAGTTTTTCATGTGTTATTTTTCCTATCATATATATATATAGCGTCTAATGTTCATATTTATTATATTTAAACTACTTATAAATAAATTTGATGTTCTTATCAAAGCCTTTTGCTTATTCTCATGTAGATACATAGCCAGGATATTAATAGATGTAGATTTCGATTTTTTTAGTAGATGTTTATACATATAGTATTGCAATTGTTCAATCCCATAATTTAAATGCACGGTCAAGATGTTTGTTAATTTTTGTTTTAATTTCAGGATATTTTAATAAATGTTCATTCTTGTATTGAAATATGCTCATCTAGAAATGGATGCATGTTCATTGTCATATTTATACATGTACATCAAGTTATGGATATATTGACAATATAGTGAAATCAATAGCTACAGGAGAACAAACTCATATTGCACAACCTATAGTGTTTACTTGATGAACTACAATACATTCTTTTTGTTGAATGTTCATTTTCATTTTGATAAATGTTCATTTATATATTAGTATATGATCATTATTCGCATATTAATAGACGATCATTAGATTTCTGATAAATGTCCACACTTTTTCCATCTTCGATCTTTATATATTTTCTACATATTTAATAAGGAATTTCAAAAACAATTTGATTTTCTATAGCTTTTCATGAAAATGATAAAAAAAAATGTTCATTTATATATTATTTGATGTTCATTTTCATATGTATAAATATTATATACTTTATATACTCCACAAATTTTTAATATATGTTTATTTTTCACATAAGCCTCAATAATTATCCTCAAACTCCTTTAATAATACAAAAAAGATAACTTTTATAAATTTTTAATCATCTATGAAAATAATTAAATGTTCTATCAAACCATAATTAAATGTTCAATTACAAAATATTATATGTTTATTTATGTTTGTCTTTCATTCATGAACAAATTCATTATACAGTACGGTACGGTGTTTCTGGTATCTTTTCTTCAGCTTTAGTCTTCATAATTTTCTCTCTCTTTCTTAATACTCTACAATCCTCTAAGCTTCATTCTTCATCTTTTTCTTCTCCCTCTCTATTACTTTCATATTTGGCATCAACTACAAAGTAAATTAAAAATTGGAACAATAAGTAATCCACAACTTTAGTTGCGTCGTCATCGCCTCCACCACAACAGTAAACTAGCATATATAATTCCAGATCTTCATCCCACAAAAAAAATCAGGAAATATTGGATCAAATTATTTTTATAATTTTTGTGTTAGTTTCTAGATATGGCTTGCCTGTTTGATTAAGCTCGTTATTTGCTTGTTGAACTAATTGATCGTAAGTTACGGCAATCAATTTTTGATCAAATCAATACACAATAATCTCTGCAATTCATAAATATATCTAAAGCATGCAAATGTATCAATTCTACCGAAAGTTATTTTGTGATCGACGGAGAAGTAGAAATGGCAGAGAGATCAACAAAGATGTAAGATGGAGATCAAGTTAGATTGTCCTGTAGTTTGAAGGTGAAAGAAATTAAAAACAATAGTGATGCGGCGTCGTTTGCAAGGGGGTGCAGGGGTTTCATCCTAGACTAGAGTCTAGGTAAAAATTTGTAACACAATGGTCCTCTTGCTCCAACACTAACACTAACACACGCTTCAGTTTCAGCATCACCAGCCCAAACAATCATACGGAGTGATATTGCTTCATCCACCCATATATTTTTATTTCATACTCCCCCTGTTTCAACATTTATACTTTGTATTTACATTAGTTACAAGTGTTTGTAATTCCTATGATAGAAAAATATGATCATACAGAATTTTGTTAGATTCAAAATATTAGTTCTTTTGGTACTAGTATAATTTTTACAAATGTACAACTTGAGATATTAAAATTCTTACATAGTGAAGGCGAAGAGCGCGTAATGACTAAATTGAAAGTACTAAAACTAGTATGAAGGTCAGTGAGTGTATTTGACCCAAGTTTTGGATGAGAGTACGATGATGATTGTTTCAGCTTGACTGTCAAAAAATTCAGACCTCTGGATTTCCACGACACTCATTTTATTTGGGGGGTCCCTAATGAGTACATAGATATACAAGGACCAGTATTCATCTTGTTTTACACAAATATTTTACAAGTATCTGCAATTCAGACAAATACAAATGCTACCTGCAACAAGCTTATCCATACTCTATTAACAGTATACAAAGACTGTGCCTCAATAACATCGCCAAAGGTGTATTAACTACATACACTATTTTTTGTGAGACAATTGGGGAAAATTTAGTGATGGGGGGAGTAATTTTTAATTAGAATATTGTTTGGTTAATGTTGATTTTAAAAAAATAGAACATGATTAACTGATCAAATAAAATAGTACACTATAAGAAAATCCATGAATGATCGCAAATTCAATACTTTATACACCGTATCATTTTAAAGATATAATTTCAATCAGAAATGATCAACTAATACAACAGTTAATTGCAAGTTGTTACAACTGCCTTGATGAATAATTATAAGAAATCAACATTAGAAGTGCAAATAACGATGAACAAAGGCGCCATTAAAAATACCAACAAGGGCACCAGCAGCAACATCTAATACAAAATGTCGACCCAACAAAACCCTAGAAATCGAAGTAAGCACCGACCAGACCCATACCAAAATCAACATTACAACAACAACCTGACCTGAATCACGTCCTCCGATCCAACGGTCAACAATCTCCCGATCACGGAACCTCAGCTGATCGATCCCCTGAGCAACGGCTGAGGTCGAGAGAGAGAAAATGGAAGCAATGAAGAAGACTCTAGAAGCGTGGCCACTAGGGAAAGACCAGTGGTCGACAGGGAGAGTGGCCCCCATGAGAGGGTTGTAGTGAGGGCGGCGGCGGCGAATGAGGTGTTTGAGAAGACCGATGAAGATGATGTCGGAGAGAAGTCCGAGGAGGAGAGAGAGTGAGAAGGAGTAAAGAGTTGAGGAGTGGAGTGAAAGTGGGGAGAGGAGGAGAGAGAGTGAGATGGGGAACCAGAGACGACCGTCGCCGGTGATCTCGAGGAGTTTGAGGGAGGCGCGTGGGATCAACGGATGGAAGAGAGCGTGGATTGATTGGGAGAGAGTGGTGTCCAGGTAGATCATGTGGCGGAGGATTGATGCTGGTGCTTTTGGTGGTTCATCATCATTGCCCTTAGCCATGGATTTTTTTGGTAGAATTTTGTGATTTTTTTTTAGTGGTGAGTCGGGTAGAGACTCTAAAGAGTAAATAAGATGGGCTGGGGAAGTGTAGTTTAAAAATTGTAGTGAGCCCAAGGTCATATTTTGGCCCAATTCAACGTGGTTTGTTTATCTTAATACTCCGTAGTCTGTATTTGGAAAGCTATGAATGTTTGTGGTAAATCCGATTCAGATTGAATGATAATAACTTTTACATGCAAGATCAATTCTGCACACAACTTAGTAATAGTTGAAGTGACCCAAAATCATTTTTAATTCATTTGTTTCTTAGGTCGTACTAACTCCCCATAAAACATTATACAATATGATGGGAACCCATTAGACCCGACCTGACCCATAACTGACATTAGACCCTATTTCTCAGTTTCTATAGAGATGCACATAGCATTCGTTTTGATCTTAGCCCAATCCATCTACTTTTGAACATGAACATGGCCAAATTAAGGACTAGTTTTGATCTTAGCCCAATCCATCTAGTTTTGAAGTTAGTAAGCTTAACTCCAACTTGAATCAAATTAATAAGCCCACTGACTCTTACTTCAGGTCCGATCCAAACATTAATAATATTTCGTTCAATAAATTGTGATTGGAGATCATCATCAATTCATCACTTATAAAAAAACATGTACGTCTTTTTTTTATCAATATATAGTTATATACTACGAGTATGTATTACTATTATCAAAACTATGTATAAAGTACCACTTTTGGCCCTAAACTTGTTATGCGAACTTAAATAAACTTATTAGTCCTAAAGAGCCTAAACTAATTTGAACATATTAGACCAAAACCTATGTGTACAAGTAATTATTAGTGTCAAATATATTGTATTAACTTATCTGAACAAATTAACCATGAATAATTTATATAAACAATAAACCAAATTACTCTTGAACATGTTCTCTGAAATGTATTTGAATTTATTAGATACGGAGTATAAATAAATGAATATAAGGTGTACGGAACCAATGCAAAGAGATCAAGAGAAGGCAACGAAGGTGAAAGGGGAGGCCAGACTCCAATGCTGCCCTTTCCTTAAATTAGGCATGCATATGAAAGACCGTGGAGGACCACTGAAATGTTTTGAATGCGTTTCATTCACCAAGATCTAAAGCAAATTATATTTAGAGACATTGACTACACAAATACAAACTCTCACACAAAAGAAAATAAAAATGTTTTGGAAACAATTTCAGATTCACATGGTTCATGGTTTTTGTGAACAGGAGCACTCCAAGTTACTGTGATGGATATCTCTGATTCCCTAGCAAAAAAATTAATTTTGGCTTCATCTCTTAACTTTAGCTAATTTTTTGTTGCCTTACTTCACTTGTTCCTGGTTGTGTTGTCTCTCTCAACTCATACATTGCCAAAATGGGTCATTCATTGCCACTTTCTGCTCATCTCAATATTTATTAATAATTCATCATATGCTATTCCATTTCATCCAAATTCATTAATGTCCCAGTATGTAGAGTTGTCATTTGCCCTACTACTAGAGTAATAAACTATAAAATCAATGTTATTATCCACAAATTCTATCATACGTCCAAGAGCCATTAAAATTGTCCCGTACATTTCACTCATTGTAGCTTAGATGAATATGCACATTTATAATTTGTGCATGCAAACTATATATGCTCCAGCCATACATATGTACATGTGTTTTATGTATATGTTTATAGTGTAAATGTTAGAAATATAGAGTATTGTTTCATTTATATATCCACATGCATATTATTTCTCCAAAACAATGGGCACTAACATGCATGTTCATACCCTACATGCACAGCATATATATCAATGCATGCAGCTGAAGGGCATGCATAAAGTTTAGACTAAGTGATCACAAAAATGAACCAAAAAATGAATAATATTTTAAAGCTTTGAACTTCAAAAATGAAGTTGAGGTTTAAACTGAAAGCAAGTTTTAAACCCAAAAATGGTCAAAACAAAGTCGAAGGTAAAACCATAAAGTTAACCAAAAAGATAAAACACTACATATCCCTTAATCTAGAAATAAGCAAAAACCAAATATAGTAGCACTACAAAAGAAAGTTATAATAAAGGAGGTTAAATTTGAAGCATGAATTCTGGGGGCTGGCAAAAATGTAACCACGCCCAAAAAGAAAGAAAGAAATTAAAGAAACGGTAAAAATATAAATGAAAAAAAATAAAGAAAAAACGCACTTCCAAGAATAAGCTCAAATAGAAATAGTAGGCGTGACACCAAAGGCTGGCAACGCTTCGCCCACCATACCAACCCACCACCACGTACTTAGCCCGCCCACTAATCCCCCACCCAACCATTTTGCTTCATGCTATTCAACAACCTAAGTACATTTTATTCATATATTTTACTATATTATACATAACTTAAGATATGCTTTATTATTCTTAACACCTACTCTATATTTGTTTCATCCGTTTTTTTTATACTAGGATTTTTTCATAACTTAGGTTTCATCCTAGATTAGTTGGCATCCTAGTGCTACAACATACATACGACATAGGCTGCATGTGTTGAACTATATTTTATAGTCAATGATCATATTCATGCATTTTTAACCAGTATTTTATTCTACGTTGTCTGTTATCATCTTATACCATGATTTTACTATTCTTTCAAGAAGATATAAGGTGTTTCAAAAATCAAATTTTAGTAGTCTTCCTTCTAATTAAGGACTCTACTTGTATTTGTTATATTTAAGATCGATTCGGTCTATTTCTGAATAAGGTTTAGTGTTAGTTGCTCAACTTATTTCCACTTATTTCAAGAAAAATTAGTTCAAATATGGGTTAATATATATAGGGGCTATAATGTAGCCAAGTTCAATGTACAATTAAAATAAAATCTAATAAGATTTGATAAGTAGTAAAATCAAGCTAAGTGAATAGAATGTACGCCGCTAAACTTTAACAGTAAAAAAAGTTTTGGACATTAAAATTTATAATAATCGCTTATTCAAGAAATTGAAGAAAAGTGTAACTTCATATTTACAACCAAACAACCTTTTTTTTTTTGAGAAATATAACCAAACAACTTTAAAAAAGAGATGGTAACTTGGAAAGGATATATATAGAATTATATGACCAATAATTAACCCAAATTAATTTGCTGTAGTACTTGTAAATAGAAATACCCTTATTTTTACATGCATAGTGTCGTCCTAGGTACTTGTTTTTCTTAAAACAACAATAAAACTAAATAGATTGTTTAATTCCCTTTCAAAAAAAAAAAAAAAGATTGTTTAATTTTGTGTCAATATAAAACTAGAACTTTTTAAGTGCATGAGATTACTTTCAGCCTAATTTTATTACATGATCGATGAATAAAGAGGCTTTATTTGCACAGAGATCAGAAACATAGGACCTTTAGGGTATTGAAGGGTTTAAACTTTAAATTGTAAGAGAACATTTATTGTAAATTTCAAATTGGGGCCTTAAGTAGAGATCGTAGGTAGTATAATTTTTTAATAACGGCCGCCTTGACTTCTTGCTCTGAGTTGTTTAATGGGAGCTAAGGCTCTTTTGAAGCATTATTAATTCATTATAATGAGTATCCTATTGAGCATTTCTTAATTAATACAAATAATAAAAGAGAAAAAAAAGTGATGAGATCAGATATTGAAAATATCAAAACTTAGACAACATCCTAAAATGCACTATGCACCCCTTTAGGACCTTTAAAATTGGAGGGATGTAATATAAGGAGGGGGGGGGGGGAGCTTCAATCCATAGATATATTTGCTCATAGTCTTCTTCGAATCGTTATCTTATTACTATTATATACATTTATGTGACTAAAGAACATGTCTTGTGGATATAAATATCTCACTACATAAGTACATATGCATTTAGTTTTATTATCAAAATTAAGAAAAATTATTTTGTTAAGAAAATCACATACATCAAGTTACCTAAATATATCTACTATTGATCGAAATATCATTTCAAATTTATCCTAGTATTATTGTATGCCATTTATCAGCTCTCTCAGCCAGTCACTAAGCTAGGATGCTTGTTAAAAAGGTAGTTTAGTTAAGCTAATGGTTTATATTATCAAGGGATGATATTAGAGAATGAGACAAGTAGGGCATGTCAATGTAATTGTCGCCTTGTGATGAAGCTCATAATTATCATCCTGATAAATACTTAAATCACGATTAATAATATTTTTAATGTAATCGCGCATTTACTAGCCACAACCCAACAGCACGGCATCACAACACGACGCACATTATATAGCATAGTTTATTTCACCAAAAATATATAGATTATAAAGCATAGTATGTATATTTAGGTTTTCAAATCTAAATTACGCAAATTGAAGCTGTCGTTTTATAAGAACTTTGGGACCAAGTTATTTATTATATTGAAATTTCAATTCAGTGCTACTTTTTTTTAAAAAAAATTAATTCAGTGCCAGTTTCCATTCTCTTTCTATTCCTGTATCCTAACATGTTAACCACATCCAAACTCCATAAAAATATTAAATTTTTCTCATAATTCTCCTTCTAATCCCATTATTCCATGTATGCACATCCTCGATTAACGAATATTAATCAAAATCAAAGATTGAATTACGTGAATACCCTCTCTCATTAGCACTGTATATAGCATATAAACACATGACTAAGGTTTGCTTATAAGCTAGCTATATTTAAAGGGTGAAAAAGATTGGATACCAGCCCACAGGGTCGTCAATTGTACAAATGTAAAGGATTCAGGAAATTGAATGGACTCGATTGCTAATATGTGTGATAGAATATACGATAGATATTCTAGTTATTCTGTCATAGTAGGAGATATATTTTGTGAATATTTGTAAATATCTTTTGAGATTTCCTAACGTGATTATGACTCATGATTTTAACCCTTTATATACGTATCATTGGAATACACTCCAATTTGAGGAGTTTCATAAAATCTAACAATGTGTAACTATAAAAATAACGTATCCCGAATGTCATATTAATTGATTAAAAGTAATGCAAAATTGCATATAGTACCATACTCAACCCATGAAGTTACATGCATAAATAATAATACTAGTATTCAATTATACAATCTAATACTTCATTCGCACTTTGTATAAGATTCTAGACTTTTAGTACGCTGCCAAGTATGTACAGAAATGTTAGGAAAGAAACAGTGTACCAAATGTCCAAAAATAAATGTCTACTTTGATTATAAGGAAGTGCAAAGACAATAGTAGTATTCTTAGTTAGTTGCAAGGGTGCACACTCCTTTCAAGCTTTATCAAGCTAAAGGAAAAAACAAGATAAGAGTTTGCCTTTATTTGATGCATACCTTAGCTTTACCTACTGGCTCTACTTTTATATTATCGGCATGGACGGCCACAATGTTTTATTTTTGTAACTTGAGTTGGTTTCGTTCGGAGCTCGTAAATAATGGTTTGTTCGCCTGGTATTGTTGTCGATTAATAAGTACAGTTTTGATCTTAAAAATTTAAAATTTGATTTTGAAAAATAAACTTTGAAATATGAAAACAACTTTTTCTAGGCACGCTTTTAATTTTTGAAAGATTTTTTTTTATTTATAAAATGATAACCAACATTAAAATGAATCTCTCAATCTAATATTTACTCGAGTTATCTATTTGTGAATTTAAAGTACTATGTACCGTAAATTAAGATAATTACTTTAATTGATACACAAGGAATGACTATTATTTACTCCAAAATTTATATTACTTAGCTTACTATATACTCTTATATTTGGGTTTGGTAAATTGAGTATGTTACTTTTGTGGTTCCTTATTGCCAACTTAAACATAATGAAAAAAACTAAAGGCTATATACCTATATGTAACCTACATGAATGAATCACACAGTCTTAAATAGAATTTAATAGCATTGAAAAAAAATTGATTTAGGTTATAGTAGATTATAAGACTATATAGCGATCATAAATGAAGCAAATACTCTCATAGGACTACAGAGTACCATATAATTAATGGCACTTTGTTTTATATCTGTAATCTGGTGTAATGGTGTTGCTATTTTGTTATAACGTGTATCCCTTCTTTTAGCAAGTGTCTTAACAAAATACGAGCTCAGTAGCGCTAAGCTATGCTAGATATATTAGAGGGAAAAAAAAAAAACAATATTCATCTGAAAAGAAATTGATGAAATGATGAATGAAGGCTTCGGACTAACGAGTAACTAACAGCCGCTTAGAATATGATCTACGAAGTATATAGTTATATTAATTAGTACTGACACTATTGATTTTATAAACAATAAATTTTCTCACCATGCATGACAACATGATATGAAGAAGTCAGTGCCAACAAATCAACAATGGTAGTACTGTAGTAGTATGGTACGATCGGACTGGATGTCTAACTTTTACGATCATGACCATGACCATGACCATGACGAGATAAAAATAATTTATAATAAAAATATATTATAGCCCAAAATTAGCGATAGTCCATTTTGATCGTATTAAACCAAATCATAAAATTGTGGTTTAATGTTTGTCTCAAACCAAAACTCACCACAAAATAACTCGGTGTGGTGTATGTTGTTTAACCGCAATTAACAAACTGTGCAAATAAAGATTATATTGTACTACGGAGTACTGTTTAGCTTTTAGTCTTTTACTAATAATCCAGTCCATTAAGAAGATACGGTAATAATTAGTTAGATAAAATGGCCCCTCTAATCACTATTTTGAAGAGAGAAAATATTAGGATTAAGACATCCTTCTTTCTTATTTGAACTTGGTAATTCACTTTCTTCAAGATTATTATCACCAATGCCCCCACAATCCGGCCTTATGTCTGAATAATGGAGCTATTGTTGGTGGGTGAAATTTATGTAGTATGTGGATTTATTTTATTTAAATATTTTCCTTAAGGGGATGAAAGAAAAAGATTATTCTTCATCATTAATTTAAAATGTTAATAACATGAAATTTTTACAAACAAAATGATAAAATGAACTATATGCATGTACATGGTTTGATGGTTATTACTCTTCAAAAATTATTTGACCATGGTTTAATTTCAATCTTAATTATTATGGATGAGAAAACGAAATTCCTTAAATTTGCACTAATTAGATTTTACAGCATTATCATATATACTTCTTATCAAAAAGTTTTGCTCTTTGTTGAAAAGGAATAGACCCTACTTGAAATAGATAATCGTCATAAGAAGACAGTATGACACTACTTCATTTCTTAATCGTATTTTATTTGGCATTTGTCAATCTTGTGTGCGAAAATAATTGGTGTTTGTTTTTCCAATTTTAACTATTCTCTCATACTTTTATCATATGTGTTTTTTCTCATTGATATTTTTTATCATTGATAAACATAGTTATATGCAAAATGCAATGATAATATACGAGTACGTAATTGCATAAATACTCCATATAATATAATCTATACAACCCCATAAATAGCGAGATTTAGTTAACTCGACGTGATTTATCCTCAAGTGAAAATTTGGTGATCAAATACAGAGTAGAAAGTAATCTAATATGTACTCGTACTCGTATATTATCCAAACCAACAAATGAGAGCAGCTAAACCGACAGAAGGTAATGAATGTGCTATGTGTATGATCACATGAACAAATTAGAGTTCCTTCAATTTCTCGCATTGCATGCATGCAAACTGTAATTACAAATTGCAATACATAATTGCATATACAGTACTATACCTAGGATATGATACGCCCGTGACATATATTTATGGATTATTTTGTTTTCACATCAACGCCCAATTAAATGTAATTTTGGAATTTACTCCTCGTTATTCCATTTTCTCATGGACCCTGATTTTTTGTATTCTTTCCTTTATTATCAATTTTCATTATATACTTGTCACTTTGCTCAATTACGTTCAGTCAACCTGCCCATTTTTGCCAAGGGTTTTATTTTGGTTTATCCCAAATTGATAGTCCGTCCATTTTCTAAACATAGTTTTAGTTTTTACAATTGATCCACATTATTACAAGTAATGATAAATACTTTTAAGGAAAAAAAAAAAAAATTTTACCTAGTGACATGTAATTTTTCCACATCATTGTAAAAACAAAAATTTAGATCCATTGTATAAATGAGGCTTGATAAATGGAACAAAGCATATCAAGTGTTATTTAAAAGGAAAAATTAATAGGAAAGATCCCAACTATTAGCATTCTTCTTTAAAGGGTCAAACTATTGATTAATCCACAACAGTCCCAACTATCAGGGGTTCTTCCAAAACAGTCCTTGACCTATTTATGACTAGTTAAACCGGTTATTGACACCACATGTCACGAATCAATTGGCTAATGTTTTAATATATTATTATTTTTTAAAAAAAAATGTTCTCCCCCCATTCTACCTACTTGACCCTTTCCACGACCACCAAGCCATCAATCTCTGCACCGAAAACCGCACATGAACGGATGGACCCCTAACCACCTGTTGCTGCAACTTCACTCCTCTCCCACTAGAACCCAAGCCATACTCTAAAACCCAGCCACCATCGTAGATCATCCTATACATGCACCAGCCACCTCTCTACTTTTGCTATCTCTTCCTCTCAAGTTGAGCGGTGTGGGAACGTGGGTGGTGGTGAGCAAGGATAGGTGGGCGATATTGTGGGAAGTGGTGAGCAGGAGACAGGTGGGCGTGGGTCTAGGTGGATGGGCTGATGGGCGGTGTCTAGTGGTTGGAGATGGCGTGGGCTAGGTGGAGAAAGAAGGGGTTAATTAATTAGATTTTGTAAAAATGAATGGTCAACAAAATTGCAACACGTGGCAATATATCCGGTTTACCTAGTCATAACGGTCAAGGATCATTTTTGGAAGAACCCCTGATAGTTGGGACTGTTGTGGATTAATCAATAGTTTGACCTTTTTAAAGAAGAATGCTAATAGTTGGAACCTTTCTTATTAATTTTTCCTATTTAAAATTACTACACGTACAACTATACAGTATAAGTAAATTTGCATCTAAGTTTATGCTCTTTTTAACATTTGTCAAAAACATATGAAGTATGAATTATTATTTGTTAAAACATCGTAAGCTCGATGATTCAAATAATTAGGAATATAGTTTTTCTTAGTAAAACTTGCTATTACGTTTCGTTTCCTTTCCTTCCAAAATTAAGGGAACTAGGAGAGTAAGATAAAATTAAAAAGTTGTCATAAGCCAAATTTCTCTCTTCTCTCCCATTATTTATTTATTTATTTATTTTTAAATGAATTCCTCTCCTTTATCAAAATTATTATTTAATCAAAACCTAATAGATGTGATAAGAGTCATAAGACCAAATTTATTAACTATTACTATAACAAAACGTGCTGATGTCATCAATTCCTTAAAGTATCTGATGTGTTAAGCTCTCATTAAAAAATTTCCCTCCAAACTTCAATATGATGTCATCAATTTTTTTTGTCCTTTCATTTTACTTGTTAGAAATTAGGACAAAGTAGGTATGAAACTAAAAATCTAAAACTTTAATTTGGTATCAATATTGTTGTATACTCCATACTAATTTTGGATATTCCTAATACAGCACAACAATATTAATAGATATAGATACTGTGTCTTTAACTTCTACTCTAAACGTATAAGTTCAATAGATAATGCAACATTAAATATATCTTGTCTAACCATCATTTTAATATATTTTCAATAACATAGTAAATATTATGATGTAGCATAAAAAATAACCTTTAAAAAAAGAATTATGTACATGTGTTTTTATATTTATGAAAAACATCTTTATACAAAAAAAATTAAAAAAATAAAAATAAAAAGTTATTAACAACAAAAGATATAAAAAAATATGGATTAATTACTTATGACCACCGTATAATACGCGGGTATTAATTAACTTTATAAAATTTAACATAATATGGAATAATAGCTAATTATTAGCTTTAGACTAATTTAGGAAAGTCAAGTAATACGGAGTATCCAAAGAAAAAGAATAGGCAAGAAAAAAAAATGAAATTACTTTCGAAGGGGTACAACCGTAATTCAATCATGAAAAATAAATTAGAAAATTACCTCATTAATAAAATTAGCCGTCTGTATTTCAGTTTGTCTCTTCCTTTTCCTTCCAAATACAGACTTAAAACTCCACTCACTCCTCAAAACCTCACACCTTCTTCTTCTTCTCCTCAATTTTCAAAATATTGTTAGGAGACACATATTCAAACCCCACATTCACCATCAGATGATTCCAGAAACCCAATTCACCTTCCTTTAACCCTCCCCCAAAATTCAAAAAAGCTTCGATTTTTTTTCATTAATGGCGGCTGGTTGGGTTAAATCATTGCAATGCAAATCAAGAGCAGTTGAAGATGTTTTCCAACCTCAACCTAAACAACTCCTTACTTCTACCAGCTGCAAAAACAGCTTTCAAAATCTCAAAGACGTCGTTGAAAACTCCAAACCTAAACCCAGACCCAAACCCAGAAAGCCCGACCCGTTTTCCCACCGAGTTAAGCGTTCCGATTCCGTTAAACCGACTCCCGATTCAACGGTACATAACCGTGTTAAACGCACCGTTTCGGCTCCGCTTACGAAAGGCCCGATTCTCTGTGACCCGTTTTTCCCCTCGGTTACGGAGTTGCAGGTGGGTCATCCTTCGAGGAATGTGGTTGAGATAATATTCGACACGAGGTGGGGTCCAAAAGGGTTTTCGGGTCGGGTCGAGATGATTTTTAAGATCCAGAACTTGGCCCGGACATCGGCCCGATTTGAGGAGTACCGCGACTTGATAAAATCTCGGGCCGGGCCAGGGTGTGGGTCCGGGAGGTGTCGTGCGGATGGTAATGAGATGATGCGGTTTCATTGCTTGGGTCCCACGAATTCAGGAGGAAGCGTGATGGACGGCTGTGATGGTGTTTGTGAGAAGATCAACGGTGGAAAAGCGGCGTCAATATGTACGTATTCGGGTAGTGGAGCAGCCCATGAGAGTGCGGGTGGGGGCCGTGGGAGGCGTGCCATGGTGGTCTGTAGGGTGATTGCGGGCCGGGTTTCGAAACGAGTCGGGCATGGGTTGGACTCAGTGAATGGGTCGGGCGAGTTGGGTGATTATGACTCAGTAAGTGTGGAGGAAAATGGCGAGTTGTTGGTGTTTGATTCTCGTGCGGTTTTGCCCTGTTTTCTTGTCATCTACAAATTGTAAAGACTTTTAAAAAAAACCAAAAAAAAAAGAATTAATCAACACAATTTTTACTCTTTTTTAGTCCATTTTTTTGGGGGGTTTCCATCTTAATAACCTCTTAGTATATTGGGCGGTAATTTGGTATTGGGTTTTTGGGACTTAATTTTGTGTAAACATTGTGTTGATAGATGTTTTTTACTAATTTTCTCTTTGATTGAATGTGCATATTATGGGATTTTCTTCATTACTTTAGCAACTAAGAATTTGTGAAATTGATGATTAAGAAATTTGTAGCGCTAATCACGTTCTTCAGAATTATTTATCATATTTATATTGGCATTATTTGATTGAGAAATACTGTAGATTTTAATTTCCTGCTTGAGTTACAAGGAAATTATGTGAAGAATTCATGTATAATTTGCAAAGGTGAAGGATAACTTTTAATATGTTATAATTTACAAATCTCATAATCAATAAATAAGGAGGATCATATGATCATGATATATTTTTTTTTTTGAAGCAATATGATCATGATATATATATGAGCTTATATACGTATATAATAATAAAAGAATATCTTATTTTTATCAAAAGAGTTTAATTTATAGTAATTTTTTTTTTTTTGAGAAAAGCGGCTATCGGTTTATGCAAGAGTGTATAGGAAGTGACTTGCTCGCATAATTACCATTATTATACCAAAAAAAAAAGGAGTGACTTATTTTAAATAGCAATGTATATAAAGCACATAGCCACATAGATTCATTCCTTATACTTCGTATATGTTAGTATGTTACTTTTATAATACTAAATTAATGAATGAAAGTATGAAACTATTCTCAAATAACGAATTTAAGATCACTAATGTAGAGAGTTTGAATATTGACTACTGCTGTAGCAACTAATCAAATATTCAAAATTTAATAAGGATGTGTTTTCTTCCCCTTAACTTATTAGACTTGATTATATCTAAATTTCATTCATGACAAATGTACATCGAATTTGATCTATTCGGAGTTAAAAACTTATTTAGTTTTACACCGTATTAGTCGTACTTGTATTGCTTTATATATATGGAGTATCAAATTATCAACTTCCAACAGTGCTTCATAGCCTTTGATCTGAGGACAAAACACACATGTTGAGTATTTAATTTATATGCTTCCATAAAAATCATTAATATAAAGAGTCAATGACAATGGATGATTCACTCCGTTGAATGTGGTGATGATAATAATATCATTAAATATGTCTTGTAGTGATTTCCGAGATCTAATGTTCATCATATATACTCAATTCGTCACCTTTACTTTTGTGTGTTTAGTAGTGATTTCCCGCTTCTTTTTTGCATGATAATTATAGAAAATACGATTTACAATAACTATATTCATCATTAATGTTAATACAATAATATAATCTATTAAAAAAAAAAAAAAACTACCAACTAAATGAATATATATACCTGCCAAATCAGACTTGCATTGCAATGAGACAGCAACAATAAATTTAGCACGATGCTCTTCTTACATGTACAGTGTGAACTCATAAATAATACGGACTACGTAATGTCCAGGGCAAATCTGTTTGTTTTGTATTGGATTTCTATTTTGGAATTTTGTTGTGTTTTCTAAATGTCAAACAATATTAAATAAATGTGCTAAAATTGCTGCTCTATTAATTTTGGATTTGCCGAATAATAATCTTATCTACCATATCTTGCTAGAGCAAGGAAATTTGTAGGTTGATACCGAGAAAACCCCAGTTTATCATCTTGATAAATAAAATTCATTTATTAAGTGCCAAAACTGTAAATAAATCAACAAATATGTTTAGTCCGCATTGCATTTTAGTAATTATATCAACAACTGTGAGCCTCGTATTTAATTTACAGTTTTACCAGTTGATAACCAAGATTATCTAGGTGATTGACTGGATAAAGTCGTATCTCCTAATCAAAAGAATTACCTAAGTCCTCTAGCTAGCTAAAGCAGAAAAGGAAGTAAGGTCGAATCCACAGGGAAACAAGTCTTTCTATTCCTTAATAATTAATATAATCTAGATGGTCAAGTAACCAAATTATTTTTATGGGAATTAAAACTAAGGAGAATAATTAAAGTAAAGCAAATTAAATAAGGGAGAAATCAATAAATCAAAGTTTAGGGTATAGGTTCACCAATAAATAATATTTCAGGGTAAAACACAATTTATTAATGCATCAATTAATCAGATCATAAAGGGTTTCGCTACGTATTACAATCACAGAATTAATCTACCGGTATTAAATCGCATCTCTCGAATCTTGACTTAACCATTTATAAATTAACTTGCCTATTGAAACTAAGCCTAAACATCAATTCTCATCTCTCGAATCAATATTGCATAACTCATACAATTAAACTAGGCCTAATCTAATTGCATAGCATTAAATCAATCAATAGGAAATCAACCCAAAGCATTGACAATCAACAATAATAAATTATCTCTTTATATTATTTATGGATCCGCACAACCCTAGAAATAAAACTACTCACACATATTTAAATCTAAACCAAGCAAAGCAAATAAACAAGACATAATTAATCAAAGCAATTAAATTACTGAAAATAAAAGGGGAGAATCATTACCAAAATAAACGGAAATAATGAATTGCTTAAACTAAAAGTGTAGAGAGAGAAAACAAGAGTATTAGCCAAAAACTTAAAACTAAAATCTGATAATTTAACTAATGAATGACGTCCCCAAAAATCTCACTTAGAAAAGCATATTTATACTTAAGCTGAAAGTCCTAATTAAGCTTAAACGAAGTAAAAGAGTCGCTAATCACCCCTCTAATACACGCGCCCGGTCGGGCGGATGCTCGCTCGGCCGGGCCCGCCTTTTTGCTGGAGACTTCTTCGCTCGCGCCCGGTCGAGCGCGCCTCAGGGCGAGGAGTGCTTTTCTTCCTTCTACCTCGCCCGGCCGGGCGCGCCTCATGGCGAGGGCCTACCCGGTTGGGCGAGCACTCGGGCAAACATGGACTTCGATTGGGCCACTTTCTTAGCCCAATCCGGATTTCATCTTTGGGTCTTTCCTACTCGGTCCAATGCCTAGAACTCTTCTTCTTCGCCGAGCCCTTAATCACCGGTTTGATAACTCTAACCGGTCTTGGGCTACGGAAAATGGCCATATGAATGCACTTCTGCTCCGATGCTCGTAGTGGCTCCAATAAGTCCATGAAAAATGCTCCAAATCAACAATTTTCTGTAAAATAATACCAATACTACGAGACCACTAGAAAACGCATATTAGTAATAAAAGTGGCTCCAAGAGCAAAAAATACTCCTAAATACAACCAAGGGACGGGGGTATATCTCCATATAAAATGAACATATCAGTGATTCTTTCAAAAAAAAAAATTATCAAGGTGATAGACTTGTATTTTCTCGTTCATGTCCCCTTTTTCCCTTAAACTTCACGTAATCAGAGTGATGAAATGCACTCTATAAACCGAATAATCTTATTTTATAATCAAATGTGTGACAATAAGACAGACCAAAATACAGATATACTCCGTATTATATAGGTGCAATGAAGCAAATATGATATAAATGATGATATGGGCTGAAGTTGAGCGTTAGATAAGCAGAATCTGAAAGGACATGCAGAAACATGAAATGGAGTGAGTGAGTGAGTATATAAAATATATAGAGGGGCAGGTAGACCCTAGAATGGTTGTAGATGGATCTGCATGCACTATGCATATCAGCAGCATATGGTAACTGCTTTTGATAATAAATGAATCATAATGAAGAGTTTCCAGATCTTTTGACGATTTCCTGTCTTTCTGATAGTGCATCAATCATTTTTATTTGCATTGGTTACCCCTCACATTTTCACTAATATATACCATACCATACCATATTATAGGGACTATCTATATAGTTTATTTTTAAATTTGTTTGTTCTTAAGCTTTATTTAATACACGGTGTATGAACCATGTTGCTCCATTTTTTTAATCCAACTTGACGCTTAATTAGAATGATTACTTGTCTCCCCGAGATTATATTATCAATAAATAAATTTGATCTTTGAAACTGACTTGGAAACTTTACTACGAGTATATATATTACATTACAAATCATACTACTATAAGATATTCATTCAACTGGTGGTTAGTACTTAGTAGCTTAATTAGTTAAAGTGTAACATTAGTATGTACTTTGTATATTTTTAATCAAGTAATACTCGTAGATAAATAAATACAAGTACTATAGTTACTCAAAAAAAGACAGAAAAACGCTTAAACTAGCTACCTAATGATCCAATAATACAGACTACTTATTATATTAATGTTAATAATAATAATAATGCTTCACCATGAGTTGCTAAGATAATCATTCCATGGTAGACATGGTCTTTCACAGTCAATGCATTTATCAAAGTATCTAGCTCAACCACCTCGTTCTCTTCAATTGGTTTTTGTTGAACTTGGCTGATTTTTATTGATAAAGACTGATATTTTTTGATAAGCTGATCTTTATTGTTAATCGTGATGAAATGCTGGTCATTCTAATGATTTAATTTTCTGATTCACTAGTTGTTTTGTGATATGAAATTACTTATTTTTACTTGCCTTAATTTTACAATTCAAATATGTATTAGATGTATTTTAAAGATCAAAATTATTTTTCCGATTTTATTGTTTTTATAAGTTAAAGAAAAATGTGCCTAAATACTTGCTTTGAAAATACTCACATGGTACAACGGATTGTGATGTACTGATGCTCAACCCAAACAGATTGTACATGTGTACTGTAACGCTCATGGTTGGTTATACGAGCATCAATATGACACATTGACACTATATGCCATTTCCTTGAGCTTGAAAAATTAGATCAAACCATTAATGATGGGCACTAAAAGCTACTACTCGTACTTACTAGTACTAGTTGCCAAACCAATTCTGATGGATTGGTGGCCTGTTAAATGTTACTCGTAATGCTTTTCAAGCTGGTGTAATGGGCACTTGAAAAGCTATACTTCAATAAATACTTTCATTATTTTCAAAGCACATGAATGAATAAGTAAAAGTAATTCGGAATGTGACAAGGACTATCTAAACCTTCGCCTCAAACCACCTATGATTTGAACTTCGTAGTTCAATTAGTTCTAGGCCCCAACCTTCAATAACGTTGTAGCTCATAAGTACCAATAATTTCGAAAGCCCCTCTCACACGAAGGAGTACAAAAATTACTTCTCACTGAATACCACAACTATATTCTATACACACTAAACATACCAAAATGGTCCATAATAGACTTTCGAAATTGAGTGTTTGTTGAAGTTGTCCTGTTTCTCAATGATCAACCAAATAGGACTTCCATAGCTTACGAGTGAATGAAAAATTCACATGGGATAGTTTTATGGTCCTTATCAATTACCTAATTCTAACCTTATTTTCATACACGTTTGAATAATTAAAATCCCTATACTTTTGCAAGGAAAAAAAATAAACACATTTTTGTATCAAGGGAGATAATGGGGCGGTTAGACTTTTGACTATTAGCAGAATATAACACGAACTCCTGTAATCAGATGTAGATAATAGTATTACCCAATTGGGTATAAAATCTGATAGAAGTATAACAATTAAAAATATTCTTGTCAAAACTCAGTTTTGAGCTTCTTTTGTCTAGCCAAATGTCAAATGTCACCTACAACCTGACCATAATGCACATAAATCTAGGGAGGACAACTCGGTCCCTGCTTAATCAGGGTGAAGCACGAAGAATTTTCTCGAGCTGAAGCCATCTCTTAGATGGATTTGATGATTGCGTTATGGGTAAGAAAATGTTTTCAACCCATATCCAAATTCACAAGGCACTAGGAGACGGTCAGATGAGAAAAAAAATATGACAGCAGAGTTATCTGATTCAGTGAAGCTGCCAAACCAATCATGTACTTAAATGTACACTTTTTATCTTGAGATGGGAGAGCAATTGCTGTACTAATGTGCTTCCACCAATATGTATAGAGGTTTCCCCTTCAAGCGTTCACGGCCCTGCAAAATTCATCAAATTAATTTAAGGCACAAGCATACATGAAAGTGCAATTACACAATACTTTAAACCTGACCACCTGAATGCATATAGTGCAGGTTCTGGGTTGACAATACAACTGCAAATTTGAATGAATATACAACTATATACTATGCAAAACCTATAACTTTCCTGAATCAATCAAAGCCTTAATCCCATGAACCAAAAGTGACCAATTTGACTAAAGAATGGTGATCTCAAACTGCTGAATCAATCCGTAGTTTTCACAGATCACCCCATGCATCATTAGCAAGATGAATAATGCATGCATTGCGCAAAGAAGGTGCACCAGAGAGGGTGTGCTAAAGTTTCCAAGCACTTAATAAAATTAAATTGCCAAGTATACCCCATAACTTGAACTTCAGAATTTTGGTTTGTAAGTAGTCAACCAAAAGGCCTTCACCGTATCAAATTTTTTTATCGAGTACTACTATATGGCACACAACCTAAGATCAGCATACATGAGTAATAAAACATAATTCGTAGTTCATTATCAGCCAACTCAGTGAGTGTTCCTCTGGACAGACAACTTGTTAAGTGATCAGTAGTCTGTATCCCCCATATCATAGGCATAAACCATAAAAATTCATAAGATAAAGATGGCTAGTTCTGAGGCAGAAAATCATATACTTTGGAAATTTTGTTGTCTCACCCAACATACAGGAGCTAGACATATATCTACATATATACATATTAACATCCTGACACCTTTTAGATATGTCCACATCCCTCAAATCTAGATGATTGACCAGGCCCCATGGAGAATAGACTTAATCATACTGCAAGGACACTAACTCAATTATTAAGCCTTCGTGGACCCGAGGAAAAACCATCTTTTATCAATGTCCAAGTCAAAATAATTGATTTCTGATAGCAAAAGTAAAGAACAGATTGGACTCGAATCCCCAGTACTTTTGGTCTCAAGGTGAAATTTAAGGAAGCATAAATTTCATAATTACCCTTAATCATGCAATTCTGAAAAAGTGGGTAAAGAACCAAAAAGCTAAAACGTTAAATGAGCATAGTTATGGATTATGTTCTTGCAAATAAGTCACACATATTCACTACACAGGGAAAACTTTTGGAAACAGAAAGAGCATTGATTATATTCCGCTGTGCAGTTCAAAAACCAAAAGATCTTGTTAGTGACTTAGTGCAGATGAAGGTTAGGATTGTTTTTTCTAAACAGAATGTAAGAACTGGGATACAATGTCATTAAATAAGCAATTGTCAGGCATTAATCAGATTCATCGCCTTTGATCAACAATCCATTACGTAATTTGTTGGTTTGAGCTGAAATGATTGGATATGTATCATACCAACCATTGTATCCAACCATTGACAAACAATAGTGACTATAAATTCTTTTGGTATCATCCTCTATTAAAATATTACCAGGAAAAGAGAACAAGAATAAGGTCCCGTTTGGTTTGACGTGTAAAATGTTTTTATGGAAAATGATTTCCCCATTTTCCTTTGTTTGGTTTGTGAAGGGGAGGAAAATAATTTTTCCAATGGTGGAAAATTGCATCTATAATGGTGGAAAACATTTTCCTTTCCAAAACAAGGGAAGCCTCATTTTCCTTCCTCTTTTTACTTTCCTCCTATCCATACCCATTACCCACATTTCCACTCCTATTTTTTATCTCTCTTTAACTTTTCTTGTAAGAACCAAACAAAGGAAAACTATCTTGCAAGTGTGGTTTCCTTGAAAGTATGTTTTCCATGAAAACTAATTTTTCATTGAAAATGTTTGACATTAAACCAAACGGAGCCTAATAGCAAAAAGTTTCAGTTATGTTGTTTGCTTAATTGCTATGCTAACAATTACAGACAGCTGCAATTCCCCACACTAAAATCATAAGGACTGATTACCAGTTAAAACAACTTGACTTTTAAAAAAAATAATTAAAAAAAAAAAAAATCAAAATGGATGCTTGAGTTTTTGTAAAATTCTAATTTCAGTACCAGTGTGTTTCAGAATTTATACCTCTTAGGTTTAAAAACTCAGTTATGTTTTGGATGCTTTTTGCTAAAACTTAGCTTCTCTGTTACTTATCAAACAACTAGGCATATATTCATTATAGGCATAAGTGTGTGTGCCATATTCACAGTTTAAGTACATCAAGTTATTTGCTTCATTTTGGATATTTTCTATTAGAAGAATTTAACTTCTCATTTAAAATTGAAGGCGATATGTGCTTAAGATACGAATAGTAGATAACGCATCGGGAATTTTTCTTCATTATATTGCAGACAGTATATTACATTTCTAAGTTGAAATATTTAAATGGATTCCACATTGTGTTTTGTGACTTGTGTCTAAGAGTATCTGTTTTGTTGAGAACTATTAGTGATTGAAAAAATTCACGAATTATGTAAACTCTTCAAGGAGTTTCTCAAGCCTATAGCCTGTCTAGTTGGTTGCTGATAGTAAATAAAGACATTAAATCACTACATTCAAACTGCACATCTTTACTGTTACTCGCAAATGCTACATTCACAACATGGGTGTTTCCGTTATTGAGTATTACAAGTCAAAGGCTTTGAACCTGTGGAGCCACATTACTCTATCAGTTTTTCATTTACATTTATCAGTCTCATAAGAAAACAATCATATTTTTATCCATAATGGTCACTAGTCATGACTATTGGCTTGTAATGTGCGTGTGTCCAGTTAGGGTCCATCTTTGATTTTAAGAAATCGAAAGTTTAAATCCAAACTGGATAAGCTGCACATTCTAAAAACAGAGGACAAGACACCTCTCTCCAGCCTTATCACTGTGGAAGATCATATCTTCTGATGGCCAAATTTACCTTTCATGATTTGATTGCTACTTAGTTGTATGGACTAGCTATAAAGTTAAGGAAAATGCTATACATAGCCCTTAGGGCTACATATAAGCATTAAATTTACACTAAAAAATCGTAAAAAGTTAGAAAATCATAAAAAGATAAACACTGATTTACGCGTGTTTTTGTCATGAATTCCTAATTTTATACAATTTTCAAGAGTGTATTTAATGCTTATATATAGCCTTTAGGGCTACATATAGCATTACCCTAAAGTTAAATATGTGGATTTCACCAATATAGTGGTTATTAAGGAAGATTAAAGTCATTAACCCTATTTACCATTTTCCTTTTCACCATAAAAAACATTACAGAATTACTAGAAAAGAAAGAAGGTATGGCACAGAGCTCTGACCTTCAAATCTGGTAGTTCAATGACACATGCACACTCAACCACTTCTGCTCCAGCACGTTCTGTAGAACGGAAAAAGTGTGGTCAATAGACAACCACAATTTGAACAAATAAGACCATATGAGATAGCAAAAGAACCTGTTAGCAACATAAAACATGTCCCCAATATGCTACTATTTCTGTTAATCAGTTTACAGTGTCCTCATAGGAGTGTCACTTTCTATAAGACTGACAAATATTAATTGAGATATTATGTTGCTCATATTCAATCCCTTCCCATTCTTTGCCAAACAATCTAAACTCTGATTAGCCAGCAAATGACAATTGCAGAAATACACACATTTCCTAAAAATTTTACCTTTGATACAGAGTAGTTAATTATTTTTAGGATTGTAACAGTACTTTCCACAATACAGCGTACAACAATCTAGGTACCCTAGAAATTTACTCAAATTAGTTGCTTTTCATCTGATCATTCATGTTATCAGCTTGATCTCCATCCTGATTTTCAAAGATTAAATCACTTTCCTGGTATGTAGAAGCATAATAACCATACTATTAGACCTGACTATCTTGTTGCATAAAATAATCTCCATCCCAAATACCACCTAAATGATTGGTAGGTCCACCTGTCCAAGGATATCTCCAGCCATCACTGATGTAGATTTTCTGATTAATTTTCTTTTTCTCATGAAGACAATTCTAAGTTAAAATCTACAGTACAAATAATGTAAACCCTGGCAAACGAATTTTAGACCTTGACGAATCTGACTGGTGATAAAGGAGGGAAGGAACAGGATTTCTCAATAATCCCAGTTTTAAACATCAATAATTAATTATCAGATAGTGAGCATCCATCCCAATATGAGTTGAAATGGGTAGCCATAGGTCAAGGTTCAAATTGGTTTGTAAGAAAGCTAAAAAAGATGAATAATGTTATTTTTGCTCTTACTTTATCCTGTCACTTCATGTCACACAATTACACTATAACAATCAGAAATCATTAAGGGAGATAAATTTATTCCTACCCAGCAAATTCATAGCTGCACATAGAGTGCCACCAGTAGCAACCAGATCATCAACGACTAAAGCACGCTCACCAGGTTCAACAGCTCCAACATGCATCTCAAGACAATCCCTTCCATACTCCAATACGTACTCTTCTGAGATAACTTCACCTGTCAAGATAGAACAATTATCATTTCAGAATACTCAACACACATGGTGCATCAGTGCTAGTCATACACAATAATTTTATTTACGGAGACATAATGAAATAAGCAAATGATACAACATCCTGGAAACCACAGATTCCAAAGATTAAGAAAGAGTGAGTAATCAGAAACCAATTTCCACCAAAAAGCAGTATCTTATTAAAAAATATCATGCTCATGTGGAGCATTCATCTATTCATAAACTTTACCAGAACTTGATGAGTAAAACTATACATGCAGTCATCCAGATCAAACACAGAATAACAATTTATGTTATGAAGGACAAGATTGCAGTCGTGCCCTTAAATCAGATACTCTTCCTCTTCAAATAGTTTCATGCATGAACATACAAGTCCACATCAATCCATGTCATGTAGAAGTGAAATGTTTCCAGGTTCACCCATATTAACACCATAAAGATGAGGCACAAAGAAAACAATAGTTCTAAATGAATATCAGCCCTGTCACATCGGTAAGAAATTTGCATATGTTGTATAATTCTTCTCACATATCAAGACCGTGTATTGCTAAATGCTCATCACAGTCATCAGCTAATGCCATTTTAGATACAGCAAGTTGCACACATGTAAATGGAAAAGGGGCATCACAATCTCAACGAAATGAATGATGCTATCAGAAAAAAGAAAAAAGAAAAAAAAAGTTTTGGGAGTAAGTACCGGGCAACTTTCTTGGCTTTCTCAATGGCACAAACTTTGCTCCGATAGCCAAGGCAATAGGGGGACCAAAGATAAAACCTCTTGCTTCAATGCCTAGCAAAACAAAACTTCCAGTTGAGCAACACAAGACAAAAAAGTTAACTCTAAGGTTTGTGGATAGCTGTAATAACTGTTCTGAGAAAAGACCAATTTCCAGTATATATGATAAAATATGATGTAAAAAGTGCAAACATGAATCAAGACTTTACTTAAAAACCTACATACTTAAGGTCACCATCCACAAACATATTACCAGTGATATTCTAGCTATCCTGAAGCTAAATTGGTTGGGGTATCTAGATAGTAAACATTAAACTCTCTTCCCCTTTATCTCTAAAATGAATAGCATGATTTATGGTACCATAGTTTAAAAACTAAATATATTGCACAAGAGCCGTATATGTAACCATGACTAAAAGATTTTAGGGTCCAAGGTTGAAACCATTCATCTCCTACAAAAATCTAAACATTAATACTTCAAGTAACTTTTATGTGCTTCATTTTCCTTGTACATGCTTAGAAAGAAATTAACAAAGGTTAAATTGCTTATACTATATCCCATATCAAGTATGCCATCAGCTAAAGCACGCTTCATGCCTAGTCAGGAATCCTAGTCACAGACCACACCACAGTAAAAATTGCCGCCAGTGGCAGCTTAAATTGGCTCGACTAAGAGAAATCTCGTACAAAAATGTGGATACCAGATAATAGCAAGATCTAACCAAGAAGGCTGATAATTTATGATCATTTGATAAGATGATACCCACTGAGTTCTGCAGTGACATCCTCAAAGCATAAAATACAAATATGAGCAAGTAGATTGTAGATAGAAACAGGCAACAGGGTTTCTCCTGATCACAGGAGCAGGAGTGTAATTAACAGATAAGCAAAGAAAGAGACAGAAACTGCTGTTTATGCACATGCGACAGCAATAACCATATCGTTGGCCCATACCACCTCTAAATCCAACCAAAAGATTTGCAAGCATGCAAATGAACAGGGCACATCCCAAGTGAAGGATTTGAAAAAACTCTCTTCAGCCCCACAATCCAGGAAAAGGACGGAAAATCTAATATGACAACACATGATGATGGTGAATCTCACCATCCCTTGAACAATAGGGACAAATGACATTTCTAGGATCTTAAATAACTCTCTTTTGTTTTAACGAATCGCTAACTTATTATTAATCATAAATAAGATATTCGGTTGATCATTCATTTTTGGTCTTGTATTACTACTACACATCAGACAACCACATTTCATCATCCAGCTTAGCAAATCAGTTGTTACAACAATAACAAAGATCAATAGTCTTTAATAGCTCGATTATGAACGGGCTGATGCAATAAAAGACAGCATAATGAATAGGAAAGAATAAAAGCAGCTAAGCCACTGAAAGATATTCAAAATAGGAGTAAGTAGATCACTCGACTTTAAGCCAAGAGCCAAAGGGAATCAAAGAACAAAATAAATAAAACGGGTCCACCCGAAAATAGGATCCAACCATAAACCATAAGAAAACAAGGGAAGCCTCTCATAATATTCACAGATAGTAATGAATAACAACACATACACACCCACTAACACATTAGCACAGCCCCATGAAACTTGAAGCCAACCCCCTTCTCCCCATAAACTCAAGTACTCAACCATTTTATTATTAAACTCCCTACTTTCTCTCAGGCCCACCATTTTCTTCAACTTACAAAATGTATACAGCTTTTTTTTATTTTTTTTTACCAAAACTAGTTTCCACAATAGCCCTTTTATGCTTTTGAAGAAAAGGAGGAGCCCCCATTAGGCCATTACTAACCAAACTTGTCTTTTTCCCCACTTTGTAACTTTTACAACTTAAACAATTACAACTTACACAACTAGGTCGTTGCCCGGTGCAAAGACTGAGGGCTTGTGTACCCTTCTCCATTCGTAATTTGTAAAGACTCATGACTCATTTACACACAAATAACATAAAATATAAATATTAATTCGTGCTCTACAACTTACAAGCAGGGGACGAGGACTCAAAATTGCATCAAAATTACCCAAGAAAGATAAAATTAACGTAGAAGATTATAAGAAAATGAAAAATAAAAATAAACCTGCAACAACAGAAATGTTCTTGCTTTTGTAACGCTCGATGAATAAATCGATTGTGTTCTTGAAAGCCTTGGCATCAACCAACAGAGTTGTGATGTCTTGAAACATAATACCTACTCATAAGTCATAACAAAACAAACCAAATTTACTTCAACAATTAGGCTAAACTTTTCAATAATCAACCAAAATTATTATACAAACAAATAAAGGCAGCATTTTTGTAGGTAAACGGAAATCAAAGAAAGAAAAGAATGGAGTACCGGGTTTAGGGAAATCGGGTATAACCCGAATTTTAGTTTTGATATCATGAACACGAGGATCATCACCATTACAAACCGACATTGTTGTGAAACTGGTCTCTTTGTTTAGAGGGGATTAATTTCGAAAACAAGAACAGAATTTAATAAGAGAGAAGGAGAGAGAAGAAGGGTAAATGAGAGTTTTATAGAAGAAAGAGAGAGAAAAGAGTGAGGATAGTTTGGTGAAGAAGAAAGGGGAGAAGAAGAGAATGGGGGGGGGGGGGGGGGGCTCACAGCTCACTCCACAATAACAAGGTTTGAGTTTGTGTGTTTGTGTTTGTGTTTGTGTTTGTGTTTGTGAGAGTGACCATAACTTAAGCAAATTGGAAGGATTTCTCTCTGTTTATTCAGTCAAATTCAAAAGTCTTTATTGTTTGGATAGGATTTTTGAATAAAAAAAAAAATATATATATATATATATATATATATATATATATATATATATATATTGGTTAAGATTTAAGAATCATAATTGGGCGTGAACCAAGCTAATCGAGTTAGGTATTGTGTCAAAGTGTCTTATGTTCAGATATGCACCGTCTAATACGAGTCAAGAAAAAAATGTGTCATATCATGCTCATATTTATCTTTCATTACTAAAGGTCTAAAGCTAATGCACGACCCACCCTTGATGTTAATGCATGGTCATCGCCATGCCTCTTATGTATGGTGAATTGGGTCAAGACCAACCCCTGATGCTGGCCTGACACATACCCAACTCTAGTTATGATATACATCCTAAGTGCAAGCAATTTAAAATATAAATTGGTGATTTAGGTTTAAATGCTTGATGGTACGCAAATTTTTTAAACCCAATACATTTTACACCATAAAATAATAGGCATACACTCAATGTCATGATGCGCTTCATACTCTAGTTTACACTTATTTTTTCCATATTTATCATACCTACATGTTCTCTCTATCATTTTTTATTTTTTTTTTTATTTTTTTTTTTGTAAATAAACTTACAAATGCAATTTTACACCTACATTTTTCTTTTATATATTATGATGCTTAAGTGAAGAGGATATGCTTTTATTTTATTTTAAACTATACAATCTTTTGAGAATATACTGCGTGTCGAATATAATAATGATTAAATATAAAATAAAAGAAGTGTTACATATTATTTAAGCTACATGCATTGTCAATATGTATCCACATATATATTGCCCAAAATATATTAACACATTGCAACTATCTCAATCTACATACAATGAGAAAGCATATGAAACCAAACAATTGCATGAATCTAGGCATCTAACAATCACTTTTAACTCGATGTATAAGGAGTCATACATGATAAGGTTAGTGTAACGACATTAGGTGTCTGGTGTCGGTCTTTAATATCACCACGCGTTTATAAACTAATTGACATCTACAAACAATCAAAGTGGTTTACCTTAAAATTCATATGTAACAGTCGAAAATCAAATACTAAAAGATACTATGCTAATTACAACCTCAAGTCCATATCCAAGTAGCTTTCTACCATGTGGCCACTATACAGCTCTTTCCTTTTCCATAATAAAAGGGGGGAAAAATGTTCTGTTCATTTGCAGATGACAATTATTCAGAAAGATTTGTGATGGCAACAACCAAGTTGGCAAATCTATAGCATGTAAATTTGGCTAGATTTTGGTGTACAAATTAATGGGATTTTCCTCAGTATTAGTTCTAGGAAAATGACGTACCAATTTGGCTTTCTTTTCTAAATATACTTCATATATTTATTGACAAAGGGGGCACGAGCAGTCGAGCACTCGCTAATTCACTATACATATACATTTACATTTACGTAGTTTTTCCTTTCTTAAACCAACTTCCCACTATAGGCATTGCAACTTGGGACCAACAAATGCTTAAAAGCTTATAATTTTATCAATCTTATCAGCTAGATTATCTAATTATTTTATTCTTCACTTTTATTTTCACCTTTTCTTATTGTGCATTACAACCGAAAAAAAAAATTAACCATCTTATATGTCACTCATGTACATTAAGAAATAAAGAAGAAAAAAACAACTTATGACCCGTGCATGGTAAGAAGTACATAGACAATAAATTTATTAATTTAAGATTGTGATGATAATAAGGACGAGTTACTCACAAAACAAAGGATATATAATATTAGGGAAAATTGATTATATAGCATGGGTTCTATTAAATTAATTGTATTTTGTATTTATATGTTAATGACAATGGTAGGTAGCTAGAGTTATTTGAAGATGAATTATTTAAGAGAATAATATGATAAGCAAGCATTATAGTTTAAGGCATCTAGAAACTACTTGCCCAGGTTTTAAATAAGGAGTCATCATATCCAAATATTTCTCCTAGGGTCACTTCTCACTAGTCGATCACAAGTTCACATACATACTGTCAAACACTACTGATGACTGTATCTAGAAATATAGAATAATTAGAATCTTAGTAGAATAAAATAAACATTTTAGTGATCTTTATTCTTAAAGAGTATAATTCTTTTTGATACAAAATCTTTAGGGATTGAAACTGCGTCTCAAAGCTAGGATCATATGATGCTACCCTTGCCAATAACAACTGGTTCAACAAGTTGAAGAAAATGACCTCCACTAGTCCATTATCCAAAATAACAACACATATCTTCTACTACCTTCGACTGTTAGAAAACGTGAGTCGAAATTAGTTGTCCCACATTACTACAAAGATAGAGGAAGAATGAATAACATATAAGTATAAGTTTGTTAGGCCGTGAAATTTATTAATTTTTTTTATTTCTTACATACACTTATTATTTATATAAGAAAATACATTAAAATGTGAAATTTTAAGTCTTTAATTTTAGATATCAAATTTTTTTTAGATTTTACTATAGGTAATATTTCACTTAATCTCCCATGAGTCCCATCTAATGTCTTTATTATTATATATCCAACCATTTGATAGTTTCACAGTAGGTGAGACACAAAATGAGATGGAAGTTAGGAGATCCCTATATGAATGTAAGGGGGTTACTTACCATGCGTAAATGGGATTATTAATTACACAATGGAGTTACTAACCATACATAAATGAGATTACTGATTTCGGAATGGGCCAGGGTTACTTGTAATGATTTGATAAATTATTAATAATAATGTCATCAATAATTGTGTAATGTGTCATATAGAAGATTAACTCGATCTACATTAAATGTCTCGTTAGTTTTCTCAAAGTTGCATATAGTAGCTAGATCCCTACTAGGATAGTCTATCACTATGAATTGAGATCACTTACTAGTTACTACTATGATCACACAAATATTTAATACTATGAGCCTATGAGGTCCTATAACAAAGAATAAATGGTAAGCAGGATGTTATTCCAAACCTATATATGTTGACATTATGTGCTCAATTCGTTATCTTTTTAACTGTAATTGCGACGGATAATGTATTGAAAGAAAAGGCTAATGTTTGAAGGTCACTCACGCAAAAGATTTTGTTGAAAAGTATGGATATATATACTCAAGGCCAAGGAGGTTTTCAAATTACTTAAGAGCTGAAGTTCATATTTTTCAAAGTAGGTTGTAATTTAGAGATTGTTTGAACTAATCACTATAAGACTACAAGTACATTATATTCAAGCATGGTATAAAAGTGGTACGTACAATATAATAAAGGGTGTTGTTAAACGTCGTTCGCATTTTACTAGTTGACGCTCACATTTTTTACATGAATTTCCTAAATTGCCCTCTGTATATAAATACTCGATAAAGTAAGTTAGGGCTTTACGAGACATTTCCCATCTCACAAAATCACTCTTTGACACTTTCTCTCTCTAAAACCTTCCAAAAAATCTGAATTTTTGAAAAAAAAAATCAGAATTTTTTTTTTTTTAAAAAAAAAAACCAAAATAGTTGAAGGTTACTCAAACTCAAGCAAATCTAGCAGTCAAACGTTGAATCCGACAATGGCAGACCGACGGAGAATTAGGTTGACGTTTGGTGGTCGTGGTGGCGGCGTTAGCGGCGGCGAGCCGGTGAGTTTTTTTTTTTTTGTTTTAAATTTTAAATTTTGAATTTTGAAAAAAAAAATCTGGACAAGGGGACTTCCGCCCAGAAATTCCGGAAGTCGAGAGGAACATCCGGAAATTTCAGGCCTGAGAAGGCTAAGAGACCGACGAACTTGAAGATGTATCGGGTTGACTTTCCGCCAGAGATGACATCTGTGATGTGGACTCGGTTTGTCCCTGGTATGTTTTTTAGTGTCGTGGTTGGTGCCCTCAGCAGACTTGGTGGTGGTGCTCCTACGGTCGGTCCTGGTTACATGCAGTGGCTGTACCGATTTTCTCATCCACGTGTTTCTCCAGTTGCGTCATCACATGAGAAGCGCACACTGCCAGAGAGAACTAACACGGATTACGTAAGTAGTTGTATTTTTTGGTATAATTTAATAAGTTGTTATTTTAATATGTTGTTTTTAATATGTTGTTTTTTTAATATGTTGGTTTTAATATGTTGTTTATACGTGACAGTGGCAACTGTCGGTACTTTTGACCTATCTTCGACCTAGAAGCCTCCAAACCATTACGAATTGCGATGATTTGATTACCAATGTGGCTATGAACTCGAGCCCATACGGTATCCAAAGAACCTGCACATTACAAAGAAAAACCGTTATGATTTGTAACTGAAATTCCTAAATAAAAGTAC